CCAAGACTTAAGAAAAGCCATTCCTCGGGTGCACAAGAAAAGGGGAGGAAGCTGATAAAAGGAAACAGGCCCTATCCCCTTCAGTATTGCCAAACCCTAAGAGAAGGAAAAAGACATCGTCCCTTTTAGTGGTCTCTAAGAAACCTCCTCTTTTACTTTCTTTGATTGATTCCAGTGTTAAAGGGGACATTATCTCACAAAAATGTTCCTGCTTCATAATTCTTTCAGATGATTTAGAGGATGTAGGGTATGTCCTCTTCTACTCGGTAGGTTAAAGGCTTAGGGTTCAGATCCTCAAGTAGCTGCTTCTACTGTAGTCCCTGAGGCAACTCATTGTTCAAAGGGTCAAAGGGCGCTTGATAAGCCTTAAGAGATTACATTCACTATGGCCCTAGAGGTGACTGGTGACTTAAAGGGTCCCGGGGCTCTTGCTGAAGCTTAAGAGGTTGCTTCCACTGTGGCCCTAGAGGCAACTCCCATTGTTACCCTAGAGGGAAGTACTCGGCCTTGAGTTCTAAGATACTCGTTGTGGAGCAATGTAAGCCTGTTGGTGCTGGTACAACAACTGCTAATCTCCTAGTCTAACGATCTTCATAAATCCCTCTAGCTTTTGGTCTAGGTGCCTTTAGACCTGATGAGTCTAAGCCCATTACTCTTGTGGGTCGAGTGAAGAAGCTTTGCACTCTATACTTATCCCTTACTCCATAAACAAAGGCAAGGCTATGGTGGACCCGAATCAAGTATGTTTCCACTCTTAATCTGCATTTATTTATTTATTTATTTTATTACTCCGTTGACTAATTATTTATGTTCCTTCAGTCAATCTTAATGATGGTGGCCCTCACTGATGCTCTTTTGGCCTACCTCTGTATTTTTGATAAGTAGGTTGTCTAGGATGCTTAAAGTCCATCTAATTCCATCTTGGCTGGAACCTTCTATTACTCCATAAACAAAGCTATAAAGAGTTACTCCGGGTCGTGTTAATTGTGGAGAAGGCAGCTCCTTTGCTTGAGTTGGAGTTCCTTTGTCTGTGTAAGATTTGCTTACTTAAACACAATTAATTATCAGTTCCAAGGTAATCAATGGTATAACCCAATAAGAATTATCAAGTTTTCACAATTTTAAATGATCATGTGCATTTTATATTTCCAAATTAGAGTTTAAAACATTTGTGAAAGCCTGGAAAATGAAGGAAGAATCAAAACATTTTCATAAAACTTCAAAATAGTGAACTATGAAGAAAATAGCACATGTGCCATAGTTAATTGCTCCTACATTGCAGTGTGTTGTCTCTGTGCCATGCTCTACAATGTAAGGTGTCATGCGCTATGACTCATTGCACAAATTTAACAGCATTTTGCAATTAAATGATAGCACCAGGGATAAACTTTTAATGAGTTCCATATCTTCATCTGACGTCCAATGGAGGTGATCGAGGTGTCTACAAAAACCTTTTTCCTAGCTCTAGCTAATGGCACAAGTTTAACAACTAAATTATTTTTCTATAAAAGTTAGATATCCAATACAAACTCACTTTTTTTTTCACATTAACTCACAACTAGGGTGCCCAAACTCCAACTAATATGCCAAAAGTCTATACTAACCCTTAGACCACACTTAATGGACTATTTAGGACTCATGCAAAACACTGTAATCAACCAAATGCACATACGTCATAAATTCAACTCTTAATCCCCTCAATTTTACAAAAACACAAGGGGGAGGTAACTTTGCATTAAATCATTAATATTCATTCAAAACAACCCAAAAGCACTTAACCCCACTTATACTAGTACTTTGGCCCTATAAAAGTTTTACAATCACATCATACTAACTTAAGGCACATAATATACATGATTTTCACAACAATAATACAAGTAGTCAAAATAATGAGATAAAATCGTAGTTGGTAAATTAACCATCAAAATACACATATAAGTAAATCCTAGTACAATTTTCATCAGTTCTAGGCTTTTAGTCATTTTTCTTGATCCTGATTCGAAGTGCTAGGACTTGAAAATATTGAAGAATAAAGGGTAAGTACAACTACCCAGTAACTAAAGTCAATTTAGCCTATACAGTTGCATATCAATTAATTATAGATACAAATGGCAATAAAATGAAACATCATGTACATATAGCAATTTTAGCCTTGTCTACAACAATAATAACTATGTCATCATGCAAGCAATGCAAAAATAATAACTAGGCACCCCTTAAACATGTTGGACCATAATAATAACAACCATGTGGTTAAAACTAAATGCATGATCAATGCCAGCCATATACCATCTTGTTACCTCCAACATGAAACTGGTGGCTATTAATGGCTATGTCTGTAACTTAAACTAACCCAATCTTCTACTTGTGAGGAGCTACTAGGTTTAGGTTAACTTACTCGCTTGTGTACTGTAGTTTTCCCTAATACTAATAACCATGAAATGTTGTATTCCTAATCTAGTCTCCCCATGAATTAGTGGAGACTAGTTAGGTTTGAGTTTTTTCAAAGAACAAGTAAGATAGTCATGCTTGAGTGGTATGATTTTCACCCTTTTGTATATATTTCTACTCTATTTTGAATTAATTTATATTTGATTTCAAAATTCAAGCTATTAAAATTGGGATTCCAACTTTGAAAGGTTTATATTTTTAAATAAAGTCATTGTTGGATTGTGAAATGAGTATTCTAATACTTATTTTAAAACTTTCAACTATAGCAAACCTTTGATTTGTCTTTTTCTTTTTACTATGGTTAGTCTTTTAATAACTAGTTGAAGTCAACACTTATGATTTAGTAATCGTATGGTTTAATCCATAGTCACCATAAAGGTTTTGGCTAAGTGATAAGGTAATAAGGAGAACGTTACAGCTAGAAGGGTCAAACAAATGTTTTAGGTTATAATGTCAACACTAGACTTAGGTCCAAAGAGAAGTCGGGTCACTTGGACCTCAAAAAGGGAGAAAATCAAAGAAATATAGGACTGTGCCATATGTCATGGCAAGCACCACATTCATCTCAATGCATGTGTGGTAATTCATAAAGAAGGGACCTCTTTATGCCATGGGCCATGACATATAGTCAAATTTCAACATAAGTAAAGCTTTGCCAGTTTGCAAAATCAGAAGGAAGAAAGTGAGAAAAATGAAAAGAGCACATTAAGGCTCGATATTTTGAATCATTGAGAACATTTTGAAGCTTTTAAATACTAAAGGTAAGTCTCTTATGTCCATTCCCTTCATCCTTCTCCATTTTTCTTGAAGGTTTGAGTTAGGGTTTATAGTGGGATGATGATTTTTGGCCCATAATAGCTATGAGTTTGAACTTATTTATATAAATGGAGTTAATAAGAGTTGTTTATGTTATTCAAACCTAATATTAATAATTAAATGGACTTTGGTAGTTGAAAGGTAATAAATATCCATAAATGGCATTTATTGAGGTTGTTGGAGGAGTTGAAATGTCATTAACAGTGGTTTGAGAGCTTAATGATGCTAGTTTAAACTAAAGGGAGCCAATAAACCCTATCGATAACCTTATATGTGAGGAATTAGAGTTTTGGGAGTTTTAAAAGTGTTGAATACGATGTGGGAATTATCCTAATGGGAATATTAATTATTGTTGATGTGATTAATTGTAAAGTAATTACAACCAGGCACCATTCTCAGAAGAAATTGTATTGAGGGGTGAACATTTAATCTCTAAAAGATTTAATGTGATTGGGGAACAAATTAGTTATGCATTTTCTTGTTAATTGATTATTTATTGAAATGAAATATTTGAAGAACCAAATGATGCTTATAGTCTCATTTTAAAAGCAAATTATGGTAGTGACAAATAATATGATGGGTTTAATTGATGAAAATTAATATATGTATATGTTTGACTATATGATTGTTGTTGTTGAATAAAAGTATGTGAATATATAAATGAGCATATTAAAAGAAAATTTGTGAATTAAGATATGTGTAAAGTATGATTGTGATTGTGAAAAGAGATGAACAAGGTTGTTGAGAAATTACAATGCCATGACCATATGCTTGAAATCCGTATGCAAATGATATGTTGACATTGGGCATGCTATTTGTTGAATATGAGTTGTATTGCATGATTATTTAAGGCAGGAATTCACCTATAAGGAGAGTAGAGATTTCTAAATATATGTGGCAAGTCCACCATTTGGAGCTTGATGGCTTGCCTCTATTTATTCATTCTACTTGTTCTTTAAGGGATTGTTTTACTTGTGCTTTGAGGGACTCAAACTTAATTAGTCTCTACTAGTTCATAATGAGACTAGATTAAGGGCACGATACCCTATTGTTGTTATATATTGAGGAAAATTGTGATTTACAAGTGAGTGAAGTAGCCTTAGCTAAGAAACTCCTTATAAGTAAAAGGCTTAGGTAGTCTTATTACATAAATGAATCCATTAAATAGTCACCAGGCTTATATCATAGGTATCATGAAGTATCATGATAACATTAATCATGTATATTATGTAACGGTCACATAGTTATTATTTTTGTAGTTTCACATATCTTATTTGACTACATGGTTGTTATTGCTATGGTCTTGCATATTATTTGTATGAGGCACATGGTTGATATTTTTATGTTCCCTTTTTGTGAAATTGTGATATATGTAGGTACTTGATCACATGGTTCTTAATTTTGTGGTATTGGCTAGTCATTAGAAAGAGAATTATATGAATTTTGAATGGTAGGTTTTGCTACTTACACTATTATAATTGATTGATGTGCATTTGTATAAGCAAAATTAACTTTAGTTACTGAATGATTGTACCCACTCATTTCTCTTCAATAACCCTATTATTTTCCATCCTTTTGAGTGGCTGTTGTGTTGGATTTAGAGTGGCTGCTTGAACATTGTTGAAAACTTTTGACAATCTTATTTTGTTAGAGTATAGATTTTATCAATGAGTGTGTTTTTTTGTTGACAATATCAATATGTCATAATGGTGATTCTTTTGCTACTCTTAAAGTAATAGTTTCGAGCTAGGGAAGAAAGAATGGATCAAAAATGTTGTTGAATATTTGCAAGTAACGGAGGAAGAATTTCAAGCTAGGGAAGAAAGAAGGGAGGAAGAATTTCGTGCTAGGGAAGAAAGAATGGATCAAAAATGGGCGATGATTATGGCACGGATAAGCAAATTTGAAAAAGGTGGTCCTTCTAAAACCAGTGATGAAGAAGGTTGTGGTGATTTGGAGAATGACTCACAAGAAGATGGTTCTGATGATGAAGAAGATGATGAAGATGATGAGTTCAGTAAGAATGAATTATGATTTCATGTTTTATGTGTTATGACTTTTATTGCCTAGTATTATGAACTTTGCTATAAACAATATGATATAATGCAATTTTTTGATGGTTCAATTATGACATATGTGCTTATATGTCAACTTTTTTTAGTTGTTATCTGTTATTTGAGAAATATTTTAATAGGTTTATAATATAATTTTTAAATCATCAAATAAATAATGATAATAATATAGAGTTCTCACAAAATTTCTTGTAATAAAATTTTGTGAGAATAAATTTCTCATGAAAATTAATTCATCAAATTAGTGAGAAAAACAATTAAACAAACTGTTAGCATTTCTCACGGTGTATTGTTATGAGAGAATTTCTCATGAATATTGTATATAAGAATTTGTCTTACATTTCTCGCAGCATTATTTTAAAAGAAATTCTCTCAGCTTTATTATGCATGAAAATTTCTCATAGAATATTATCATAGGAAATTCTCACAACATCCTTATATGAGAGAATTTCTCATGCCAATAATATGTGAGAAGTTGTCACAAATTTATATTAAAGGAAATACTCTCATAAAGTTTCCGCAAGAACTTCTCACAGATTTTATCTCAGTAAGTCTTACGGATAAGGGCGTGAGAAATGATTCTCACGGTTCCATTCGTGTGAAATGTTTTTTCCTTTGATAGGTTTAGTAACGAACCTTTTGGCGTGAGAAATGCTGTGAGAAAACTATTTCTCATAGAAATTTAAGTGATTTCTCACATATTTATTTTGTAAGAAAAACGTTGTTTTGTTGTAGTGTTCATTTATCTATTTTTGATCAAAATGCTCTATGGTTTTGTTTAGGCTACACAAAGAACATGATGTCTTCTAAGATGTTTGAATTATGATAATCAAATAGTAATAGCCAAGAAATCATATGTGGAGAAAATTTCTCCATGTTTAGAATCTATTGTTTCTATGGTTTCTTCCATGAAAATATACAACTTTTTTTTATATACAATGAAAATATACAATTCTAGAAGTTGTGAAATATACATATAGCTTTAGTGCGGTTTTCTCATGCTATTGGGCTTACTCTTATGGCTACTTAGTTGAGCAACTTATAAAATAGTTATTGAGGTACTTAAGTCGTTGCCTCAAATTTAGAGCAATTGCATATCCAAAGATGTACCAATAGGAGATTGTTAAGTCTATCAGGAATTTTATCTTAGTTTTTATTCTCATTTTATTATAGTTTTGTGAACTATTTTCATGGAATCTATTTTCCCATTACCTTTATGTAAATTTTGAATGCAAAAATACCACGTTGAAAAAGGTATGAAAGCTTGGCAATATATTTCAAATGGATTTAGGAGCAAGGACACTTGAAATGGATTTAAGAGCAAGGACACTTGATTTATAAACCTTTGTTGCCTAGTATCACAGATTACAAGATCTTCATGAGTTATCCATGAAGAATTCCCATGCCTTTCCCTATATTTATGACATATTTCAGCCGTTCAATTGTTTTTAGGTGACTATGATACTATATGTTTTAAAAATATAAGAACTTGTAGCATTTTATTTGCATGGATTTTCTTTTGCTCATTGATGTCATTTTATTTTTCATTTTAAGAATGCAAATATGAATAACATTAAGTATTTGCTTTGTGGAAGAAGTACTGGAATAATTTGTTCTTATTTATAGCAAAACTAGCTTTCTAAACCTTCTATTTTGTGCTTAGCATATGAGAATTATGTTTACTAACATGAACTATCACATAATGTTCAAACATGACTTTTTATGATTAACTGGTTTATAAGTAATCGATTCTTTCTTCTTGTAGGACTGAAGCTAAAGTAAAGAGAAGAACTAAGTGGCCCCAAAAGGTCTCAACAAACTTCATTGTCTTTCCCACGAACTGTGCTCATTTTTTATATGGTTATAGCAAGATTACTAAGGAAATGATAAGCTGCATGTGGTATGTGAGATAGATTGCATTGAAATGTTTAAGACAAATAAATTGCTCGCTAAACACATTATCCCTGTGGAACCAGTAAGTAGGTATCAAGATTGTGGGGACATAATTCATGAAATACTACTTTGACGTATTGTTTGAATTCTTTTTCTCTAGAACAATCATTGTAAAAGAAGCATAGTCATGCAGATGCAGAATCATATACACTTGTTAACTTCTCTCACACTACCTGAAGGAAAATGCTTCACTTTAAAGCATATCTCGAGTATATAAAGGTCAATCAGCTATAGGTGAGCATTATCATAATTGTTGCTCAACTTGGTATATTGTCTAATTGATGTAGATATATGAGCTAATAAGGTATATTACAATTTATGCACAGGTTTTTAAATTTTAAGATAAGTTATAGAGTCTTAGTAGGAATTTATGGATCCAAGAGAGTTATGATTAAATAGAGATAAAGTATAGATTCAAGTTAGCATGGTGCATATCTATGCTCATGGTTGTAAAATCGAACCAAACCGGCCTGTCAAACTCTTAAATTGCCAACACGTCTAGTCCAATTTTGTATTTTATTTAGGTATGAGTTGACCTAAGTTAACCCGAGTGACCCGAGATTAACCCAGATTAACCCGCCCAACCCCATGGGTCATGCAGGTTGAGCAGGTTACATGAAAATTAAAAAAAAATGTAGAAGCCTCTAGCCAATTGCCTCTTGCCTCTTGGCTTTGATCTCTTGCCTGAGACCAACTCAAAAAGAAAGGAACAAACCTTTGACCTTTTTGTTTGAGAACTTTGTGTGTCTGTCATTTATGGGTCTCATCTTTAACCTTCTTAACACTCTATGGGCTTCATCGGCAACTCTACTTCACCATCAACTCTGCCACTATTGTCCGTTGCTCACCATCGTCTTTATCTCATGCTAGTAGGGCTATTGTTGTTCTCGCGACTTGCGAGAGAAAGAACCAGAGGAAAGATGAAGAGGGAAATAAAATGAAGAAGGAAATGACCAGCTGCTGCTATGCAAATTTCAAGTCACAAGCTACAATTGCTTTATTAAATTTTTTTTATTCAAGCAAGGCAATCCTGTCATTTCACCCCCTGGTCCCTTTCCATACACATTTTTTCCTCTCCTTTTTTTCACTAAAGCATGCTCTGTTTGTCACCATGTAGTACACACACACCTCACACATTTCAATATCTTATTAATTAAATTATACATTTACATATATTTTTAATATTGTTTAACTTGTCAATTTTTTATTTCTATTTTTTAATTCTTTATTTATAACTTATTATTATTTTTGTTACTTTAATTTTATTATTATGTAAATTTTTTTAACTATTGTTATAATTATTTTTTATGTTATATAAGATATTAAGCCTTGAATATGGATGAATGTATTGACAATTAATGAGTATTTATTTAAATTGTATTATTTTATTGACTCCGATTTGACCCCGATTAAACCTCTGACCCTTGACTCCTGTAGGTTCAATGACTAGTCTAATTTTTAGTACATTGTTTATGCTATGGATAATGCATATGGTCAATTTGTTGTTGATTGATTGAAGCATGTGAGTAGAAAATAAATTTATGAGAGCCTCAGGAATTAGGTAGAGAATTGGGGAAATGGTACAAGATATATATAGTTTTTTTAACATAGCTTTATATTTGTTTTGTCTGTTTAAGAATCATAATGAAATAGTATTAGAATAATGTGTTGATAAAATAATTTTTGTGATCCATTCGGATAAGAGATACTCAAACTAATTGAGTATTTTATAATTCATTTAATTTATTATAGTAAATTCATATTATATCTACATTATAAATTCAATTAATTTTTCTCTTAATCTATAGGATATTAACATTTTCAAACTAAACATATGATGAAATCTTCCTCATGTATTGCATGGGAGAGAAATCTAGTTATATAAATTTTGAATAGTAGGTTTTGCCACTTACACCATTATAATTTATTGATATGCCTTTGCATATACAAGATTAATCTTAGTTATTGAGTGGTTTTACTCAACTATTTCTCTTTAATATTTACAAGTCCTAGCTCTAGTCAAGACAGGGGAAAAGCACCAGAGGTTTAGGACATTGATTCATAAATTATAGGCTTATATTATTTTATAATGTGTATTTTGACTAGATTATTGCCAACTAGAAATCATATTATTTTGACTTACTTACAGTATTAGTGGTTTGAATTAAATTGTGTATTTTGGGTCATATTTTGTTTGTATGATTAATCTTGATATTTAGACAAAGCCAAAATACTAATGTAAGTAAGATAATAATGATATTGTTGGTTGTAAGAATGAATAGTTGAAATTCATAGTGATTGGCTTCCCCTTCTTGATTTTGTTATTAAAGGGTTGAGCATTGAATGTTGTAATTGTGCACATGTATGTGTTATAGTGTATTACATAGGTGTCCTATGGTCTATTGAGTATAGTCTAAAATAAGTTTATGCTTTTGGCACTTGGAAAATGAAATTGAACACTCTGAATGTGTTTTAAAGTTTAAAAAGAGTGAGTTGTCAATGAGTGTTCAACTTTTTAATGAGAAATGATATGTGAGTAAGACTAAAGTTGAAAAACATGTGAGCCAGGCCCTTATAAGCCCAACCCTTATGGGCCTAGGTCCTAAAGCTTGATTACGTGAATTTTACCCAAAAGTTGAGGCCTAACCTTTATTTAAAAGGTTAAGGGCTAAGTCCGTAAGCTCTATTATGAAAAAAATAAAATAAAATTCAACATTATAATTTACTTAAAATATTCTAAAATTTAACATACACCAAACTAAAGTCTCACATAATCTAAAAAATAATAAAAGATTTAGAAGTCTAAATAAGATAAAGGCAAACTTATAAAATATTAAAACTCTCAGATGTAGGTCCACTTGTTGAAGATAGATGTGGAGGCTCAATGTCAACAATCTCTGCAACTTCTTCATTATCATATATAATAAATATTAATCAAATTGTGTCATTATCAAATATATATCTATACATATATCACAAGATAAAATATAAAAATTACTATAAAATGGT